GTAAAATAGAGCCTACTTTTGATGCTACATAAGAACCGGTTTTATTTTCTTCAACATATTTATACGCTAATATTCGTTTTTGCATGTTCCATTCATGGTCAATCCAATGGACAGTAAGTGTAAAATAATCGTTACCATTAGGACTATGTCCCATATCAGAAGTAATAGATAACCTACCATCATAATAAGCAAATAAACAACAAAGAAAATGAGAATATTCTTTTTGATATTTAAAAAGATCACTTTTAATTGTATTTCTTGGAATACCTTCATAATCTGGGTTATATAATTCTCGAATATAATGAACAAAACCAGGATGAGAAGGAAATGAAAAAGGTAAACCACAAACAACAACCATTTTAGCTAATTCTCTACGATCTTTTTCTTTACTGTATGTGCGGTGTATGCTTCGACTAGCCGGGTTAGACATATTTAATACACCTTGAACCATATTAGAACCTCCAACACCCATAGAACTTTCGGGTATGGGTGTTCCATTCTATTAGCTCTTTCTATATCATCTAGGCGAGCAAATTCTTTATTACACTTTCGTAAATGTGTTCTTAGTCGTCCCGTTCCCCCTTGTGTACCCGTAGTTACATGTTTCATTACCAATTTACATTTAGTGCACGTAACAGTAGTTTTCTCCTCATTTTGTATCAAAAATTTCCATACTAACGATCTTTTAATACGTACGACGGCGACATTTGAAAAAGTAGGTAAAGAGGGGACTTCGGTAACCGGACTAGTCGGGGTTAGGGGTCTCTTCATCTTCCTCATTTATTTCTACTTCTTCTTCTAATTCTTCTTCAAAATTAGTATAATGTCTATTGAAAGACTCATGATCTACTTCATCTTCAGAATTAAATTCAATAGGTCTTGGTGACGTAAAAAAAGTTTCATTAACACGAGTATAATCATTAGTATTAACTAAATATCTAGGTGACAAATTTTTAGAACAAGAACTACTTACTCCTCCCTTTTTATTTTTTAATTCCGACATTGGTCTTTTACCACTATTTCTTTCCGAATTCATGTTAAAATTTAAAACAAATAAATATTAAGAGAAAAACAAGCAAAATAATATAATAAAAGAGATAAAATAACAAAATTAATAAACAAATAACAATTAAAGTTAATAGTTGGAACGAATGTACCAAACGTCTAGGTAAAAGTAGACGTATAACCAAAGCCGGATTTGATAGATGCCGATTGTAGCTTTCGAAATTCAAACTTCAACTCAATATCACAATATAATAATTAATAATTTATGAGAGATTTATAATTGAGAGTTTGAGACTTTGAGAGATTGTATAAGTATTGAATTTGTGATTTAAAATGGAAAAAAATGGTATATTTATAGTGTAAATGGGTTAGAAGGGGGTGGGTGGGTGGGGGGGTCATATTTGACCGTTTTGGGCCCCAGCCCAACGGCTAGAAGGGCCCAACGGTCATATAAAACGGCAACATTAAAAATATAAAAAATAAATAATAAAAAAAATCGGCTAAACCGGTTCTTACCGGATCGGACCGGACCGGAACCGGTTCTTACCGAACCGGTTTTACCAGATAAAAAACCAGGAACAGGTCCGGTACCCGATCCTGTATACTAAAAGACCGGTTCCTTACCGGTTCAACCGGTACGGGAACCGGACCGGACCGGCCAAAAACCGGTCCATTTGCCAGCCTTATGTGTTTCTAAAGCCTTTAGTGACATTGATTCTAATGACACTAAACTAATGTCGGTAAAGACTTTAGCACTCTTTGTGTTAATGTTATTATTTAATTTCGCCAAAAGTTATTTTTGTTCTAGTATAATATTTTTTTCTAATCAATTTAATTAAAATATATGTACAAATAATCACGGAATATTTTCTAATGATGACACATATTTTAATGAGATCGACTATATACTGTTGTTGTTGGTGTTATTATTGTGTTTGTAGCTTATACCTTTGAATCAAAGGTTTGAGTTTAGAATTTGTTTTCCATAATATTTGAGTTCAATTTTCACTATCGTTATTTTATATGCATGTAGTTGATTATTTTAATATGTATGTTTAGCTTCAATTAATATATTCAGATTTAAATGGTAATGCTCATTAATTTTACTGATCAATACGCCATATGTTTAAATGTTTAATACCGTCATTTTTCACTAGCTCATATAATAAGATTTGAATTCTATCTTTCATATGACAATATTTTTTGAATATGAATATTGAAATATTAGACTATTATTATGTGTGCCATGTATTTTATAATTTTAGACGAATGAGAAGAAATTACTTCCTATATTTTTCTCTTTTATTTTCTTAATATATATGATTTTCACCCATTTTTATTCCTACCGGATTATGAGGGCCTTTTGAAGCCATAAATCAAGGGGATGATGAATCAAGAAATGGATGATGATTTAATTATTTTAGGACTATAGAGATTTTATTTTTTTTTAATCCTAATCTGTTTTTTTGGTCACTTTAACAAAGAATTTTGGCATCTTCTTAGAAGTGGATATGTATGAAATCAAAATTTCCAAATTTTGACATATTAATCATGACTATGGTGGATCAAAATGAAGGTTGTTGCTCCATCAAATATAACGAGACTTTGTTGGAG